TGGCTTTAAACTTTGCCCCTGAGAGGGTAGAGAACTCTCGCCCCCCACCCCAGAAGTTTTCCCTGGGGGCCTGGGGGAAGGGGGTCTTTCCTCTACCCCCCCCTCCCCCCCCCCCCCCGGGGGGGGCGGTTCTTTTTTGCTTTTTTCCTCCCTCCAGCCCACGGGGGGACCCAGGGAGGGCCACTTTTCAGGTATCAGAGTTCTTTGTCATTACTCACTCATCACTAATGTTGGAACGAGCCCCCCCCCCCCCCCTGAGTCCTGCGATGCCAGTTTCAACATCACTGGGACAAAGGACATGCTCTTACTGCAGGTTGCCATAGTGTTCCATCAGCCTGCACTGCCACCAGCAGTGTATGCGTGGACCCATCCACTCTGCCAAAAACTCAACGAGCATTGGGCATCCATTCTAAAAATACTTATTTCTGGGCGCAGGCCTTTAGCCTAGTGCCTGAGTTGCTGGTGTTCGCCCTCCAGGTTCCTGGGTTGGATTCCTGGCTCTGGCTCCCGGTCCCAGCTGTCTGCTGGTGCAGACCCCGGGCAGCAGTGGTGATAACTTGCGTGATGGGATTTCTGCCACCCACATGGGAGACCAGGCTTTGGGTCCTCACCCCCGGCCTTGGTCCTGACCCGAGTGAGCTGGCATCTGGCAGCTTGCTCGCTCTCTACCTCTCAGATAAATTAAAAACATCTTTATTAAAGAACACTTTGTTGAAAAAATTGTTCTCTATTGCACAGTGGATTAAAGCCCGGGTCTGTAGTGCCGGCATCCCATATGGGTGCTGGTTCAAGTCCCGGCTGCTCCACTTCCAATCCAGCTCGGTGCTAATGTGCCTGGTAAGGCAGTGGAAGATGGCCCAAGTCCTTGGGCCCTTGTACCTGTGGGAGACCCGGAAGAAGCTCCTGGCTCCTGGCTTTGTATCTGCCCAGCTCCAGCCCTTGTGGCCATTTGGGGAGTGAACCAGCAGATGGGAGACCTCTCTCTTTCAAATAAGAAAAATCTTATATTAAAAAAAGTTCTCATTTCTATGTTTTTAAAAAATTGTTCTCTTTTTAAAACATGCATCATCTAATTCAATAAGTATAAAATAATTTATGAAGGCGCTTTCAAAAATTCATGGAAAATGTGTAAAAAATTTATGCATGAGTTCAAAACATGTTTGCATTAGAATAAAATCTCTGGTTCCCCTCATTCAGGAGTGGTTTTGAAGTGTTCTCGTTTTTTTTTAAAAAAGATTTATGTTATTTATTTGAAAGAGTTACACAGAGAGGAGAGGTCTTCCATCGGATGGTTCACTACCCAGTTGGCCACAACGGCCAGAGCTATGCCAGGCCAAAGCCAGGAGCCAGGAGCTTCTTCTGGGTCTCCCACGTGCGTGCAGGGGCCCAAGGACCTGGGTCATCCTCTACTGCTTTCCCAGGCCATAGCAGAGAGCTGGAGTGGAAGTGGAGCAGCCAGGACTAGAACTGGCACCCATATGGGATGCTGGCACTTCAGGCCAGGGCGTTAACCCGCTGTGCCACAGCTCCGGCCCCGAAGTGTTCTCCTTTAGCAGGTGCCTTGATAGGCGAGTGCTCACAGCCTGTACCTCCTAAAAATCCGTCCCTGCTACGGAAACCATTCCTTCGTATCCTTTGCCTCTTTATCATGTGGTCTCCGTTGGGGGAAACTCAGCCCTGCACGCTGGCTGCAGACTGACTGCTCACTTCATACAGGGAAGGGCCTGAGCTTGGCTCAGCCGAGGAAGGCCCCGGGGGGGTTCCTGCTACAGTGGCTTGGATCCTCGCTGGAACCTGGCAGCCCTTTCCCTGCGCTGAGGCTGGGAGGTGCCCCGGTGACAGGCGAGGAAGCCGGGGCATGAGCTCAGGCCTGAGCCCTTCCCGGGGCCCGGGGCAGGAGCGTGCAGAAGGGACGGGAACCCAGCCCCTCCCTCGGGCCCGTGCTAGCCAGGCTCCTCCGCGCCGGCTTGGCCTCTACTTCCGCGTCCTAAGGAGTCGGTTCTGCTTTGCCCGGGTTCAGCTAGGATCCCACGTCCATGGGCCGAGAACCGTCCTCTTCCGATTCCTGATCGAAGGTCTCACCGCCATGGGCCCCAGCTGCGGGGTGGCCTCCGGCCTGTCAGAACCCTGCTGGCTCAGCTGAGCCTGAAGCCGCCTCCAGGCTTCCTCTCGACCCTTCCCACCCCTGAACCCACCCTGCCTTGCAGCTCTAATCCCCACCTCAGCCCAGTTCTGCACTCCCTCTCCCCTGCAGGCCCTGACTGATGTCTGTCTTACCCTGTTCACTTTATATCTATCTCTCTATCTATCTATATGAAAACAAAGTTAGCAGAGACAGAGAGAGGTCTTCCATCTGCTGGTTCACTCCCCAAATGGCAGCATTAGCAGGGGCTGGGCCAGGCCAGAGCCAGGAGCCAGGAGCTTCTTCCGGGTCTCCCACATGGGTGCAGGGGCCCAAGTGCTTGGGCCATCTTCCGCTGCTTTCCCAGACCATTAGCAGGGAGCTGGATAGGAAGTGGAGCAGTCGGGACTCGAACCGGCACCCACACGTCCATATGGGGTGCTGGCATCGCAGGAGGTTCCTGGGCCCTCCCCCTTTCGTTTGCGTGAGGCTCTGGGTGAGAGAGGGAAGGAGGGAGTAGTCGGGGCTGGGGAGCAGGGGCGGAGCCCCCGATGTTAGCAGAGTTCACACACACTCCTGGCCCCACATGGCCATGCTCTCAGCCCGTGGTAAGACACCAGAGCTGTGTGTTCACTCCACCTTTCAGTCCAGAAAACCAAAGCACGGCCTGGGGAAGCGCTTGGCTAGAACCTTCTCCCGGGCTCTCCTGTAGTCAACTTGAAAAACGAAGGGACACACCCACTAGGGGGCAGCAGAGACCAGCAGACCCCCTCCGAGTCACCGCGGATCCCCTGGTGCGAGAATTGCTCAGCTGTTAACATTAATTAGCAGATTGCTCAACCGCAACAATGTGCACGGGTCTCTGAATTCCTCCTGAGACCCCGGGGGTCCTCTGAGCTGTGTGCACCGCTCTATCGGGTGTTCTCCGCCCTCACCCAACCCCGCACTTCAGCCTGGGCTGCACACAGTGTGAACCCAATGCAGAACGTCTGTGGGGGAGTGGAATTTAAAGGTAAGTTGATTTTGGTGCCAAAGGTCTTGCAATCCACGCATAGCATTTCAATAACATGCATTTTTGAGGCTTTTTTGATGACCCCCTCATAGGCATGGATTTCAAAAGTTTTGCATCATAATTAACTTGATTTCAGTTTTCCACAAACTTAAGAAGAAACTTTGGTGGGAAAATAGCACTGATTAATTTTTTAAAGATTTATTTTATTTATTTGAAAGAGATACAGAGAGGTAGAAACAGAGAGGTCTTCCATCCAATGGTTCACTCCCCAGATGGCTGCGATGGCTGGAGCTGAGCCGATCCAAACCCAGGAGCTTCTTCCAGGTCTCCCACGTGGGTGCAGGGGCCCAAGCACTTGGGCCATCTTCTACTGCTTTCCCAGGCCATAGCAGAGAGCTGGATTGGAAGTGGAGCAGCCGGGACTAGAACCAGCACCCATATGGGATGCCAGCGCTTCAGGCCAGACTTTAACCTGCTGCACCACAGTGCCAGCCCCCACCACTAATTATTTAAAAGGTAGAGACATATCTGGTTCAGTCCCCAAATGCCTGCAATGGCTGGGGGAAGGGCCAGGGTAGAAGCTGGGAGCCAGGAATGCAATCCCTCCCCAGCCCCAGCCTCCACTGTGGGCAGCAGGGACTCAAGAGCCATCACCCACTGCCTTCCAGGATCTGCACAGGCCCAGAGCTGCAGGCAGGGGCCAGAGGCAAGTGTTGACTCCACACAATCTGGGATGGGTATCAGCCTCCGAAGCTCCAGGCCAAGTGAAATTGGGATTGGTCCCCTACAATATGATATCAGAATATGACCCCCTATAGTCCTCCACAAGTCCCATCTGGAGTGCCACATGAAACCAGAATTTGGGGTACCATACGATATCACCATATTTTTATTAATAAATCCCCAATATTAATAAGCCCGTGTAGGTTCTTGCCTAATATTCAGAGAAGAATTCTGAATACCGGCATAGATGAACGGGGCAGCATGGTACATCTTAAGCT